GCGTGTGTGTGTTTGCATGTATGCGTGTGTGTGTGTGTGTGTTTGTGTGTGGTATGTGTGTGTACACTGGTGTAAATGTGTATTGCAGGGTTGGGTGGGCTAGTAGAGAAGAGTAGATGTATATGGACATGTACATGATGTACATGGGATATGTAGGTGTGCATGTACATGTAGCAAAGCAAACTTATCAAAAAGGCATTCTGCGCCTATATGGCGAAATTGAGCATTGAAGCATATGTTTTTTATTTTCTCATTGGCATGTACACAGTTAGTCCATTCAATAACCAAAAAATGAGGAAGATTGTAAATCAGGTTCTTGATGAAATACCCGTCCGCTATACATCACAAATCCTGTACAAATTTGACAATTTAGTGAAATTGTCATCGCCTTTATCTCAAAAGTTAGCATTGAGACCCCATTTTTTTAACTCGCCATTTGCATACACTACCTAAGAGCAACCGCCCACCAAATTTTCAGAGCAATCGTTATTTTTTTTGAAATAGGCGTGAGCCACCTTAAAGTAAAAGTTATGCTTCTATTCGAAACATGCTTCTACGTCAACATCTCTAGTCTACACTGTGCAGTGCACATTGTCACGTATGTACAGTGCAAGTTCATAATACTTATGTACTCTTGGTAATACACGCATGCTTCTATTCAAATCGTGCTTCTGTGTCATCATGGTCATGACGCGCTTCGAAAAGTCGGCTTCTATTCGAGTCATGCTTCTATTCAAATCGTGCTTCTGTGTCATGACGCGCTCCGAAAAGTCGGCTTCTATTCGAGTCATGCTTTTATACGTGACATTACAGTATGCCATGCATACATACAGTACTAGTAACTCTGCATTATGGGGTCTCCGCCGGCGAAAACTCACGTCTCTGATACCTTTGTACAAAGGGTATCAGGAGTTGCACACTCTTGGGGGGGGTTATGTACTCTTGGTTCTAGTATGTGTGTTCGATTATCCGGTTCCCTCGCCTGTATTTTTGTGGGAAACGGACGTGTGCGGTTATGCGAGGTCTGACGGTAGTACGAGTATGGCTGTGCTAAATGATGCAGGCATGAGAAGTACAACACGTGAACAACGGTATTAGTATAGTATGTACACCAAGGCCAAGATGCCTGATCTCCTGAAGCAGCTTTGGGTATACAACATGCCCACAGCTATTATAGGCGGGGAACAGTCTGCAAGAACGAAAAGTTAGAAAACGTGATGAAAAAAGAAAAAAAGTTAGAGCATCGCTAGCTACAAGCGAGGGTCCCTGGTTCGAGTCCTGGTGGTGACGGTCAATTTTTTCTTCAGACTTTTCCCGTTTGTCTCTTTCCCTCAAACTAGGGAAGAAAAAAAAAGAAGAAAAAGTAAAAACTTTTAAAAGCAGGCTTCAGCATTATAATAGCACTGCAGCTGTGGAATCTGCAAGAACAGAATGTACAGTGGTTGAGTCATGTCCAATCAACTACTATACACTGCAGTCCAGCCAAGCCCACGCCACTAGTCGTCAGTGATTAGACACGGTGACAGAGTATTGCAGGGAAAGACATAAACTCATAAACTATAAGAGAGAGAGAGAGAGAGAGAGAGAGAGAGAGAGAGAGAGAGAGAGTCTCACGATTGCTGAATCCGAAAACGAAACAAACATGGTTGAGCATCCAAGAACGTTGTGTCCAAGAGGTTAGCCTGGGGCGTTCTTATATTTCAGCAATTTGTACACGTAGAGGACGGTCCTATCCTGAGTCTGACTCTCCCCCGCACAAGAGCAACTGCCCTCGGTCAGCGCACTCATTGCACGAATTAATGACCAGTCCCGGGCCTGGGGAGTATGCAACTCTACAAGTGAACATGGGGGCATGGCACGGAGCGCTGTCCACGGTTTCGGTGCATTCTCATATGCCGAGTACTGTAGGTTACGTCCAGCGACCGATGAACACAGATACTGTCGAACGTGTGACCGTGACGACTAGAATTCTGTACATCTTGGAAGACCGCCACAGGATCAAGGCCGGTGGTGGGAGGTTGCATGTTTGCGCCGTCATCCGTACGTACAGTATGCACGATACCGTAGTCGCGCGCCCTTGCTGCACGTGTAGATCGATGTTGCGTGTTGGCCGTCCGGTCCGGCATGATTTCAAATTTCATGTTAGGCACACTTGCCGCGAGAATAAGCGGCTGGAATTCACTGCAATCGGCACGCGGACGTGAAAACTGCAACATGTTGGAAAAGGCCGCCGCCGAACGAATCTGGCCACAAGATTGCTGCGTAGAATGGCAGTTCACACCAGTGAGTAGTAAAATATCCGGCATTTTACTACTCACTGGTTCGCATACACTGTTCAGGCCACGCCATGACAGAAAACCGGAACAGGGCCTGGCCAGGCCTAATATGGAAAGGTGAAGCACCAGTACATATCCATGTACGTACCCACGTACTGCGGAAATCGGCTGGGTCGTTGCCACACAGCTAACATGCTACGCTTTCCATCTTCCCGTTACACTCTTCTCGGAGACTTCGGAAGGATTGTGCATGATTCTTCACATACAGGCGTTGCCCTCTTCGAGTCTATCACATCACGGGTGAAATCGCTGCGTCTGAAGTCCAAACTATACGGAAGCACAGCTCCAGTCAGCTTTCTTTCTTTTTTAATCATCAGTTCACGACACAATGAAGGTAGCACGCTGCGCACAGCACCCATAGCTTGGAGATGAGATTTGAATACTCTTCCGGGGAGTGTTGGCGAGTTCACAAACGACGAAACAGTTCGGTCCGCAGATTGAGTACTCTTGCGGGGAGGGGTTACGTAACGTTGCTCGCCGCTGCTGTTGTGGACGGTGTGCGGTGACAGAGTGACTCGGTGGGTGCATGGAGAATGCTACCCCGTGCCAGACTGGAGAGGATACCCACCACATCCACACTGGGTATGAAGCCGGGTCGAGCACACTCCACGTACGGACAGCCGCACACGAGCGACTCGGCAACCGAAGCCGGTCGACCGCACGCCACCAGAGCTTGCTGAGCAGCCTGGGATTCGCACGCATCATCGCCATCACCCGTGGTGGCAGCTGACGCCTGTGGAAGCGCGGTCAGGGAGAAGTACCGGTCTCCAGAGCGCGGGCAGACGTTCAACCGCAGGGCTATGAACGGCGACGAGTCATCAGGGGGATTCCCCGCCTGGGGACCGGCTGGGGGTGGCACCGTCTCCAGGCGGAAGTCCAGGTGTTGTAGCCTGGCCACGGCGCAGACACTTCGCAGCACCTCGCACAGCGGCATGTGATCAAGGAGCAGGACGAGCCAGGCCAGGAGGCAGTGCGCGGCCAGGACGACCAAGCGCACGGCGGCAAACACCGAGTAGAACACGAGCGTGGTCGGCAGCAGCCACAGGACGACGGTGAACAGCAGCGTTCCCAGCAGGTACTGGTCCGGCGATGACGACGTCGAGCCCGACTCCAGTGAGTCGACTCTCCGCCGCAGCACGTTCCACTTGCGACCGGCGAACAGACGCAGCAGCGCGGCGAGCACGTAGCGCTGGGCGCCAAACACACGCCCGGCGTAGATGTAGAAGCAGTAGGCGTGGAAGACAAACGCCGACAGCAGGTCGGAGAGCGCGCACAGCAGTAGCGTGGCACCGCCGAGCACACCCAGTGACGCCACGCAGCGCAGCAGCGGCGCCAGTACGGGGGCCACCAGCCGCACGTAGATACCCCAGAGGTAGATGTGGTAGAGGAAAAATCTGCCCAGGAACTCGCTGAGCTGGTTGTTTAGTTTGAGACCGGCAGGCACACCCATCAGCCAGTTGATTAGCGATCGCAGCCACACGGCCGTCAGCTGTTTACAGAGAGGCATGAGAGACACACACACATGCATACACACGCGTACACACACACAGAATTTACTATCCAGTGCAGTTCTAGAACGTAAAAATAAATTCATGATCAAAACCGAGAGAAGGCCAGGAGCAAGACACTGATAAAGACCTATTAGACAGCTTCAGTGACTCATTGCCTGCATAGTACCACCTACTATTGATCAATCTTGAAGGGGGGGGGGGGGGGCTGACCTTAGGGGTTTTGTGTAAAAAAAACCATGCAACGTGTATTCGGGGAAAACACGACACAGTTTTATTCAGTCTTGCCCCCCCCCCCCCCCCCCCCCACACACACACCAGCCACTCTCCTGCCTGGACTTCCCACCTACAGTTGTGGCCAAAGAAATCCGACCTGCAAGTCAAAAGCAGCGCCACGTTTCCATTTCAATGACGTCATGCATGTTCCCAAAACCGACCCGAGGGCCACATGAGCCTTGGCGCTGCTTTTGGCGCGTGGGTTGGATTTCTTTGGCCACGACTTCAGAAGCGTTACGGCAAGAGTAGATAAACAAGAGTGTGCAACTCCAGATCTCTCCTGCACAATCTGCAGATATCTGCCCACGGCGGAGTTTTTTGTTGACGTCACCTTTTTTCAGAGAAACGCGCATTTCGCCGCAGAGCAGTGTGAGAGCACGTGCTGGGTACCGACCTTGTAGTGTAAAGCCCGGCCAAGAGCACGAGGGAAAACTTTCCGAAAGACTCGCAGCGCGTGCGTCGTCGAAAAGATTACGTCAACAAAAAATTCCGCTGCGGGCCTACCCATCGGCGAGTTGCACACTCTTGTTTATCTACTCTTGGCTACGGAGAAAAAGAGACTTACTTCAGCGTTTGTCACCAACTCACTGGCTATGACATTGGCGTAGGTAACAAGGACAGCCATCAGGACAATGCCTAGGAAGATGTCGGCCACCAGCAGCCAGACAAGTCGCAGCGACGGCTGACGAGCCCAGCGCAGCTGCCACTGGTCGCCGCGGCGGCAATCATCGTCGTGGCAACCACTACTAGCACCAGCACCGCCAGCATCGCCATCGATACCAGCATCACCAGCACCACCACCAGCACCCACGCTCTGCTCTGCCGGCTGCTGCTGATCCTCCGTACGGTATGCCAGGCATGCCTTGGCACGTTGAAGAGCGCGACACCCACACGCAGTCCTGCACAGTACACGTTCCACACTGGGATGCGCCGCGCACACACGCGCCAGCCACGCAAAGCAACAGACGTGCAGCGCCACGAGCGTGGCGGCCAGCCGGGACAGCGTCAGGAACGCACGCGCGCGTCGGGACAGCGTGAACTCGACGGGTACGCGCGCGTCGCGTCGAGCGGCGCTCTCCCCTACGGCATTGCGCAACAGCTCTAGGTTCTCCGCCGTCCGGTGGTGCTGTCCGCTGCGCACGAGAATCACCATACCAGCAGTGTCACGTGACAGCGTTGGCTTACTGCCACTGCTACACACACTGTCTGTGCCCATCATGCTTGACAACTCTGCTGTACGTCTACAGTGATTTTTCTACAATGAACAGAAATCACTGGTGATGATAAGGGGCGGTTAGCTCGGAGCTGGCTGGTATCGACGCAGCAGTTCAAGCGGAGAGTTGAAGGCCGAGATGGTCAACTAGCTGCAAGCACGGATAGCGTGTCCATGCGTGAGGTTGACTGACAATGTAAAGCAGCAATACGGAACGTCGTGGTGTCAGAATAGTGACTGAAAATACCTTGCATTCACTCGTGATTTCTGCAGCCTCGGATCGTATCGACATCAGCTCAGCCTCTCTTTACCTCCAAGTACAAACGCAAAACTGGGTGAACAGCGGAGATATGCGCAGACTTTCACGGTTGTTGGTCGTTGCGACTTACTCGTAGAATGGCGAAACATTGATCAAACATTTAGCTAGCTTCAACCTACCCCGAACATTGAATATCTGCAAAATCAATTCAAACATTTTGAGCTAGCTTGGGACACTTACACGTGGGAGAGACATGCAGCAGGACAATGACACGTAGTGACGTCATGACGTAAGCCTACTGCACTACATGTAGTAGCGGCCACGCGCAACACCAATCCATGTTTTGGGAAAGATGACGACGCCGGTCTGTAGACTTCACTTGTACTTCAACTACACGTGTACCGGTACTCAGTGCAGTACTTGCTTGAGAGCTAGAGAGAGATCTCGAGGGCCAGGGCCAGTGCCAGGGGTTTAGTTCCTTTGTGGGATTCTTCACAAGCCGGAAGTTGTATTTAATATTGTATCTTACATGGATTACTACCAGTTTTAACCACTTCTTGACGGGCTATAGCAGCTTTCGGTCAGTCCTTTCTCAAGCGCTTCCGACGAGAGTGATTATGAGGGAGAGGAATCATTTGAAGCGCAACATCTTTGCATGAAAGTCCGACTTACCTCTTTGGACGTGTTTTGCAAATGGAATGGCTACCTACATGTATAAAACCTGGTACCATGTATACATTAGCCCAAAGAGTTGAGAACTCCCGATCCCCCGATCCCTGCCATGCACGGCACCCTCTGTTCTACAGTTGTAAAACCAGCACGTGGCGGGTTCAAAAAATAACACAATGCAAGTGTGTACACACGGTCGAAGGCTTCGAGAGTGTGATGTGGCGGTTGCTTTCTTCGAAAAGAGACAGACCCCGGCCCCGCGAACGCAGTTTGCTGTTCTTCAAAAAAGATCATCTTGCATGAGATTGGTAGAGGGATCAATCGAGCTCTACCCTTGGAGCTTCATCCTGCCGAGCAAAGCGCAACGGCGACGGTGATCGCAGCTCGGCATAGGCAATGTACAGGCGCTCGTGAGTGACGTCGTGCCTAAGACTCGAATGGATCAAGGCAAACAGGACAATGTCGTGTTGACTCCGTGGTGATTTGGCGACGCGAAGACGGCGCACCAAGTCAGGAATTGATTCTCAATTGTTCGTGATAGGCCACGTTTTGGAGGTAGTTACCTAGTCACGGTACTAATAGTAATACAGTATGAGTGGGAAGTCGGATCATTCTCGAGACGAGCTGCAGCTGCAAGGCAGCACCTCTGACCCAGGTACAGTCAATGTCTGGTGGATAATCATGTCAGGTCTAGTAATGGGAGTTGTCAGTGTGGGCCGTAATGTACATGTACATGACCAATGATCAATGCAATGCGGATGTTTGGCTGAGACCCACCAAGTATGAACTGACCCCTGTACAGCCCACTATAGTACAGGGGTCAGTTCAATAGCTGACCTTTTCCATAAAAGAATAATGATTACATGTGCTACAAAGGTGGTGGAATCCTGATAATTCGAACCCCAAATCGCGGACATTCTAGTATCCAGCGTGTATCCACAACAGATTATGTACAGTCGACTCCTGAAAATAACGAACACCGCAGTGCAGAAGGATTAGTTCTTTGCAGCCGAAATGCACCCACACCACACAAGCGGCACATGTCGTGACTGACATGCAGCCCATGGCTGCGTGAATGCACTTGATTACCATGCGGCTCAGCAAAGAATGGTTCGTTACGAACAAAAACCTCGTCACAAAAGGGTCGATCTTGGATGCTTTCGTGGGCAATTGCAGCAAAGAAAAACACAAACTTGTGCCGGTGATGTGGTGTAAGGTTCGGCGTGTTAGGAACTACGCAGCTGAAAAGCCTCTTTATGGCTGGGGCGCCTTGCCGTTGGGTGCTACACGTTGATAGCTGCTACAGCACTGTCGGGTGCCGGAGAACTGGGGGGGGGGGGGGGGGGGTCAGCCTTGTAGCCTAGACCGTTCTTTAGAAATTTCATGTAGAGCAGTCTGTTTTTTTCTCTTTTTTTTACTATTGAACACTCACTGCATGATGAACTAAAATGAGGAGAAGAACTCGACACAATGGTACATATCCAGCAGTCTATGTACAGTTGAGTAACCACCATGTATACATTGGTATGATGTGCTTGGTGAAATTCTAGCCTGGTCGTTCTTCGACGCTCCGTTCTTCGGCGCCCCACAGTGCTATAAGAGTACGTGCAGGGCCATATTAATACTGTCACCGAGGCGTCACACATGGTACAACCAGCAGGACCATGGTCGTATCAACTTTCGTCCAGGATCTAGCATGGTCCGCCCAGTTCATCCAAAAAAGCAAGAAAAGAGCGCAAAACGTGCCCTGTTGGCCGAAAAATAGGGACCGGCGGATTCTGCTCGAAAAGGTGGCAGATTCTGTCCGAAAGGCAGTGAAATTGGCAGAACCATACAAACCTTATGGCGGGCAATTCCTCGAATTCTGCTCCATTTTTTTATCCACATACCAAACATGCATGAAACTTACCTAATACCAGAAAAAGTACCGAATTCTGCCAATTTTTCTGCCGGCAGAATCCGCCGGACCCTACCGAACCCCCCCCCCCCGGTCGTATCGCTCCCTACTGCCCTGTGGCACCCCTGTATTACTTTGCCATGATGCTGATGATATTGTTGATGCACTGCAACAACACACACCTACATTGTATTGTAGATACGAGCTGCACGTCGGAGAGCCGGGGAGAGTCTGGCAACGTCAAGGAGGGCTGCCTGCGGAAGCGGCATCGCAATCGCGCCGCCTACACCGACCGCTTCCTGCAGCTGGACCTGAACAATGCCGTCTTGTCGTACTACTTCGCGTCCAACTCTGGGGTGAGTGAACATTCTAGGTGTTCGCTTCTTACGTTTCTACGTTTGCTACAAAGAAGGTCCAAATCGCACATCGCATAGCGTATCGCATTGCGAAGGTTGAGCTGAGCTCAGCTTCTGCGATCAGCCAGTGGGACGGTTGTGTGAGCTGCTCGATGCTGTCCATGGAATCCTGTGGTACTGCTGCGACTGGCTGCTATCTGTTATCATCTCTCTCTCTCTCTCTCTCTCTCTCTCTCTCTCTCTCTCTCTCTCTCTCTCTCTCTCTCTCTCTCTCTCTCTCTCTCTTCTTTGTGCAGCAAGAGCGACGGCGGTCTTCCCTGCTTGACTTTTTCAGGAGCAGCAAGAAAGCGAAGTCCGGCTATCAGTGTGATGAAGATGTGAGTTGCACTGACTTGTGGGCAGATGGAGGTTTTATGTTACCGTATTTTCCGGAGTATAAGCTGCCCTGGAGTAGAAGCCGAATCCCCCATTTTTGGCCACGAAATACAGACATATACCCTATTTATCACCCTTAATTTGATCATGGGAGTATAAGCCAAACCCTCAGTCTTTTGGGGTGAAATTTGAGTGTTCCAAATGCAGCTTATACTCCGGAAAATACGGTATTTAGAATGTTGCTATGTAGCTTGGGAACTTGGTGCACTCACTGCACACCTGTGTTACATGTTTGTTCCCCGGGTGGGTTCTCTTTGGTAGTTTCTTTTGTTCGACCGCATGGAATGAAGTTCCGTCGCTGTGAATTTAGAATGCGTGACTGACCCGTGCGAACAAGAACACCGCGATGTAAGAACTATTCCTAAATAGTACAGTAACTGAACCTGTCAGGGCGACCACTCGGATAAGGTGATCGCCAGTCCCCGACTGCTGCTGCAACAAGGACCATGGGATGCTATTCCCAGTTAAATAACCCTGGATAAGGAGGCCACCTGGAAGCAGAAACCACACCTTGAAGATCCATTGAGCGGTCGTCTTAGACAGGTTTCACCAAGAGTACCGTATTATCTCTAATATAAGCACGGTCCTTTATTTTTTCAATGTACCTCCGCCCCGTGCTATTATTGGAGACGTTCCTTTATTGGAGACTGTTCCGTTATTATTTCAACCTCATTTCAGAGGCTTGTTGCCATGCCAAATTCATGTCAGACACACACATTTCAGGTTTTTTTCGCCGGTACAGATAATGAATTTACACAGTGTGCTTATAATGGAGACTGAGCACTTTATTTTTTGAATGCCGCCCCAAGGTGTTCTATTATTGGAGACGTGCTATTATTGGAGACTGTGCTTATATTAGAGATAATACGGTATATAAGCCACGAAGAGTGTGCAACTCCTGATGCCCTTTCTATGGGGTTCGACGAGACGACGACGGAGAAAACTCACATCACGTGATGTAGTGTCCCAGTTGTACGTTTCCAGCCCGTTTTTTAGCGAGCAGCGGAGTAATAATAAAGCACTCCCTGGCAGGCACTCACTGACCGTATGCAACTGGCCAGCACATTCATGGCAGATTTTCGGATTGCGCGCACGCTACCCTCAGCTGTACGTAGTACAAACCGTACCTGAGACACGTGATGTGAGTTTTCGCCGTCGGAGACCCCATATGCAGAGTTGCACACTCTTGGGGGGTTACATACTCTTGATAGCACTGTACTGGTATGGTATGGTGTTTTATTTTCCTTCATCAAGTAAACTGGCACTCTTGCCTTTTCGCCAGACCAATGATCTCCTACAAGTGATGAAGAAGGTAGAGTAGAGTAATGGTGATGGGGTGTTGGGCGACTAATGCCGGCCATGGCGAGAAGGGGTGAAAGATGAGGAGAAGCCAGTGTGGGGCACGTCATGCTCTTATGCTGTACACTGGGAGCTGTACACTACAATAGTAGTGTGTTTGTGTGTGCGTGTGTTTGTGTGTGTGTGTGTGTGCGTGTGTGTGTGTTCGCTCATTCATGTGTGTACTTGTGTGTGTGTGTTTGTGTGTGTGTTTGCTCATTCATGTGTGTGTGTGTGTGTGTGTGTGTGTTCGCTCATTCATGTGTGTGTGTGTGTGTTCGCTCATTCATGTGTATGTGTGTTTGTGTGCGCACATCATCGTACATGTAACTGCAGAAGTTGCGACGGCGCTTCCCGGTCGATGCACTGGAGTGCCACACGGTTGCCGGTAAAGACCTGGATTGTGACGAAGGAACGTCTGTACTTGTCATCTCCTACCGAGAAGTGCAGGCATCCTACAGACCAACAATATCTCGCAACGTGTACTTCGTCTCCAAACAATTTGATGAGGAGGCAGATCAGGTAAGGGGCTGTCCGTGATTATCGATCTTTTACACGAAAAAGAAGTTTCGTTTTTGGGTGGGTGGGTCAAGGAGAGTTTCATTTTTGAAAAATATAGATATGTGAGACATCAAGGCATTCTAGCTGTCAAGTCAATCTATATTTCGTACAGGGGGCGGGTGGGCGGGGATTGGGGAAGGGTCCTAACCAAACTTTTTCGTTTCGTGAAAATTATCGATAATGCCGGATGGCCCCTATTGAAGCTGGTGTGAGATTTTTCCCCCTGATGAGTATTAGCAAGAGAAGATAAAGAAGAGTGTATAACTCACCATGTGTGTGGCACACGGTGGAATCCTTTTGTTGACGTCATCTTTTCTGGAACTCATAAGTCATACCGCACGACGCACAACGCTGCGAGTCTTTCTGGTAGTGCACTTGGCCGGGCTTTACATTGCAGGGTCGGTGCTCAGCACGTGCTCTCACACTGCTCTGCGGAAAAATGCGCGTGCTCTGTACTCCACAAGTCTTGTTTTCTGAAAAAGGCGACGTCAACAAAAAATTCCGCTGTGGGCCACAGATTGTGCAGAAGAGATGCGGAGTTGCACACTCTTGTTTATCCACTCTGGGTATTAGGAAGAAGGGTTTGTTGAGCATGAGTGAATACTACATCGATGCGTATGCTATGGTTCACGTGTGCTGTTTTGTGTATGTGTGTGTGGGCGCGTGTATGTGTGTGTGGGGGGGGGGGGGGTTCCCCGTTAAAAAAATTCTGATTTTCGGCCAACAAGGCGTATTTTAGTACTCTTTTATTCCTCTTTTGGATGATTTTGAGTTTTTGACAGACCATCCTGGACGAAAAGTGGTAAAACCGTGGTCGTACAATGTGTGATGCCCTGTGGCTTGTTTGACGGCCTACCAATGCAATCATCTCACCCATAGCAGTTTAAAACATCACTATGAATAGGAATATCACTAGGAATGTTAGCCAGTTAGTTGTAGAACGTCAGTACCGTCGGTCAGTGTCGTGCAGTGTTATCGCATGAGCTGATTGTTTTGTAACTGGTGGTGTTGGTGGACATTATAGCGTAACTTGTAGTTCCTTGGTCCTTTTTTTTAATACTAGGAATATCATTTTGATAAAACCTGCCGCTGCCTTGCCGTCTCTACCGGTGAACAAAAACACTCTCCTGGCGTACTGTGTGGCTTTCGATGAACGATGCAGGAAATTCGCGACTGGTGCCGCATGATTCGTCACTGCAAGCGTCTTCATCACGGCAGGGCGGTGCTGCGGGCAAAGTCGCTGGGAGAGGGCGCAATACGGGCCGTTCTCGCCCAGCCCGACTCGGAGCAGCCGCCGCGCAACATACTGGTAAGCAGGTGATGATTGCTCGGGGGCTACAACAGGCCCAGCGGAACCGGTCCGGTTGGTCAGGCCATGACCGGACAAACGTTTTGGCCATCAGTGTGTGTTACTGCCGAGGAGGTCATGTGTATACCCTCCATATCATACACAAACTGTTTGAAAGACTAGGGTATGTCCGGACCAATCAAAAACTGCTTCCGCTTGTCCTGTACAGTGGAACCAGCCCTGACCGGAGACCCTTGGCGCAGTGGAACCCGTCCTGATATGACAGGATTCCGCGGCTTGATCCAGGGATGCACGTTCGATCCCCAACACTTTGGTGCTTGAAAATGTGTCCGGTCACCAGAGA